CAGATGGATGACGGAACGTGGAGGAGGCGAATGAACCACGAATTGCACCAGCTGCTGGGAGAACCATCCATCGTCCACATTGCAAAAATTATCGACTACGGTGGGTTGGGCACGTCGTAAGAATGCCGCACGACGCCCCAGTGAAAATGGTTCTAGAAAGTGACCCAACAGGAACAAGAAGAAGAGGCGCGCAACGGGCAAGGTGGATCGACCAAGTAGAAGGTGACCTGCGGACCCTTCGCAGACTACGAGGCTGGCGAACTGTGGCCATGGCTCGAGTAGAGTGGAGACGACTTCTTCGGACAGCAGAGGACAACAAGGCCTTAGCCTGATTGGTAAGGTAAGTAAGTTTAAGGATGGTTTTACATTTAAAATTTAAATAGAGTTGTTGTGGTTGTTCAATGCTTGATGTTGCATTTTGAACAAATAAAAGGGTATTTTGATGATGGTTTTGAGCCTATTATAAATTTAACTCTCACTCGCTGTTGTCACATTCCTAAGTTGAACTGAGATAAAGATCCACACTAGACGCTGTTAGTTCTTGCCAAATTTAAGCTGCTAATGGGTATGTGCGTTTCTTAATAGATGTTACACCTAAATTTGACCATTCTGAAGAAACCGAAAGGTGACACATCTGGAAAAATATACTTCGTCCTATCTTTGAAAACAATAAGATTTCAAGACCATTGGACTGGACTAGATTTTCAGGATACAGTCACTTTGAAGAACTATTAAGAGGATTTTAGATATGTTTTTCAAAACAAATTTGAGTAGATTTTAGAATGAATTCTAGAGATAACACCAAGGTATTTCAGAGAATATTTTCTAGGGAGCTTTAGGAAAATCTCTAAGAGAGTTTTTACTAGAACTCTCAAGAGTGAAGAGGGTTCCAGGATTCGTGAAAAATACAAAGGGAAGCGAATTTTGAGGGTACAATTCCAAAATAATTCTGCGAAGATCTGTAAGGAATTTTTGAGGATACATATTTCCAAACGCATTTCGAATTTTAATGAGAATTCCATGCAATTTTCAGAAGAATTTAAAGGAGAACTCCAAGATAGTTCTGAGCAAAATTTGAAGACAATTCTCGGCGGAAGAATTTCCCCTGCCCGATGTTGTTGACAAGGAACGGATAATGCAAGTTTTGCTCAAAAAATCTAATAGGCACTTTTAAATTTTTGGACGAGAATCTAAGATGCTTTAATTAAAATTGAAGCTCCAGTGAATTCTTAGAAAGATTTTAAAATTCGAAGAGAATCTAAGGGTGAATTTCAAGAATTTGTTGAGTGTTCTACAGAGAATTTCTGAACGGTTATAACAACATTTTCAAGGGAATTCCATAGAGAATTTCAAATTATTATTTATTTTAGAATAATTCTGAAAAGAACTCTCAATCAAATAAAAGCCTGTAAAGTTTTGAGTGAAGACTTGGAACGTGTCGCAGAACAAAATTCAAGATCCAGCTAAAATTCTCCTGTCTTAGAAATGACCCATATTACCTTCGGCTCAATCAGATTCAGTGTTATGTTTAATTCAAATGTACATCGCTAAACCGGTAAAATTTCTGAAATTCCGCGAGAAAAACCGGAAAAAATCGGGAAATTGTTAATCGAGGTTTGCTAGTCACCATGTATAGGGTAGCCAGCAATGGAGGAAATTACTGGGAATTTTAAAATCAGCTGCGCAAACCGGGAAAAAGCCGGGAATTTGACTAGATAACCGAGAAAAATCAATAAACCTTAACATGTTCAAAAAAAAAAAAAATAAAACTTGAATAACAGCTTGAGCTAAATCTAGCAAACATATGGTTTTTCAGCTCAGCAATGGTTTATTCAGCTCTTAATTATTTTGAACCTTTGCAATTATTTGACCTTTCGTAAAACTCTCCTTAGAAATTCTTCGGAATTCTCCTTAGAACCTTGGAATTCTTTGCTGAATTTTCGTGAAACTTTCTTAAAAATTTAATTAGAATTCTTCAGCGTTTTTCTTTATTTACCTCAGAACACGATTCCTTCGGCATTTTTCTCGGATCTTGCTTAAAGTTCTCTTGTGAATTTTCCTTAGTATTCCTTTGAAATTATTAACAGAAAACCCTTTAAATTCTGTTTATATTTCTTTTTAAATTCTCCTTAACATTCACCTGCTACTCTCCTCATAATCCGCCTATAATTCTCTTCAGAATCACCTAGGAGTTCTCCTTAACTTCCCACAACTTCGTTATAATTCTTCCAAGAGTTCGTCAGGACTTAATCCAAGAATTAATTTAGGATTCTTGTCAGAGCTCCGTTGAGTTTTTGTTCGAGTTCTTTTCAGAATTTTGAATTTTAACGGCGCCGGTGGTGTAGTGGTAAGCGTGATTACCTCTCACCCCAGCAGGCCTGGGTTAAATCCCAGTCGGCGCCGCCGGGATGTTCTGAGGCATAACATCTCTGATCACGCCTTCCTTCGGATGGGAAGTAAAGCCGTTGGTCCCCGGTTCATGAGTTGATGGGTCGATAGGTAGGGTCCAGGTGTGGGAGCTGCCTTCCTGGCACGTCGGTAGCATTGGTGCTCAGTACGGAAAACAAGATCGACGGAAAAAACAAACCAAAGGAAAAAAAAAAAGAATTTTGAATTTTCAAATTCTTCTGATTTAGAGCCCTGAATATTTTTCCAAGACTACACAATTTTCCACATCTAGAATCTTGAAAAATATTCTAAATCAGGGATCTAGATTTTTTTCAAAATTCCTCATTTAGACTATTGTTCTCAGTTTCATACTGTTTAAAAAAATCCAATCCTGTTTTTTTCTTCTAAATCTAGGATAGATTTTCATAAGCCACAAATCTCTGAAAAAATTGTATATTAGTCTGAACACATGTCAAAGCCTCAGAATCATAGAATTTATAATTGTTTTAAATATTTGATTTGTTTTAATGATTTATTTTAGTACAGAGAACGATACTTAAAAAAAATCTTGCTCCGTATCAAGTTCCAGATATTTAAAACAATTTCTTAATATAGTCTCTCCCTCTAAAATTCGTTCGGCTATGGGACCTTTAAAAATCCATGACTCTGATACTTTGTATATTGTGGCGCTTTACAATCATAACCCAAGTAACATTTTAAGTTTGATTGAGGTTTTGAAGCACTCTACAAGTCTAAATCATGATCATAAAACCCAAATTGTTACTTGGGAAGAGAACTCGAGTCTAAAAAAAACTTATTCAAATTGATTCTAAGTCCCTTGAAAATAACGTTATCATTATTTTTACTAAATATTTAAAACCGGGAATATTTTGAAAATTGAACCGGGAAAACTGGGAAATATCAGGAATTTTAAAATTAAAATTCACTGGCCACCCTGATTATATTTTTGATTCAAGAGATTTCAAATTTTATTCCTTAGATCTCACATCCCATAACATTCGGTCCAGTAGCGTTCGACCAAAACTTTGAGTAATTTACATATAACTTTAAAAAAAAAATCAAAATTCTGAAACTTTTGAAATTATTTTACATTGCGGACTTCAAAATATCCCCTTTATTCTGGAATATAATATTGAAAATTCAAAGACAAATTTGCTTTTGGCGACAGATTATCAGATTTAATAGGAAGCTGCGGTTTTCAGTTGCGTTGAATGGTGTTCCCTAAAATGGCAATGCCATACCGATTCTACGCAACGCAACGCAACTGCCATAATTTGTTGTGATCATGGAGCTTAATAAATATTCCGAATTGATTGTTCAACTGAGAGATGCGAGTCGTTTTTTCCGATTTTCTATTACCGTTGACATCAACCAGCCCAAGTACCATAATTTAGACTTGTAGAATGCTTTAAAAGCTCGATAAAACATTAAATGTTACTTGGGAGTATTCCTTTTTACCTAGTTCGTTTATTTGGAAGGCTCAATCGCGTTAGCTTTACGGAGCCAATAATACATTGTTGATTGTTTTTGACAAAATTCACTTATTTATTTGGATATATCACTAATTTTCCGTACCTTCTCATAAATTCTTAAGCAACCGTAATTAAATGTTAATGTATTTTGTTAAGCTCGGAGTCGAAGTCAGAATTGGTGCCTTTCAAATCAGATGAGTTGCAATCGGAATTAATCAGGTGGTAATGAGACATTCTTCACAACAACAAAAATGTTACTGTAAAAAACGTATGGGAGAAAAATGTCGTGCATTTTATTCCTCATATAATTTCTATGACATTTACCACCTCTGGATCCAACTCCACAGCCCTGCATTTGCTGAACACTCTGAACACGATCCCTCCGATAAAATGTGTAACGGCAAACTTGCAATTTTTGATAAATCATAGCTCAGCCATTTATTAAAAGGTTTCAAATTTATTTTATTTATTTATTTATTTATTTATTTGAAATATATCGAAAAATGGCTGAGCAATGATTTTTCAAACATTACCAATTTGCCGTTACACATTTTATCGGAGCCATCGTGTTCGGAGTGTTAATCAAACATAAATTCTAAAGTATCATCAATCCGCCAACACTGCTAATTTTCTCGACACAAATTGTCTCAACGAAAGAGAGTGAGAGAGAGAATTCCGCGATCAGCTGAGCACCATCACAACAGTCGCTCACCGGTGGAACTCCGTCGTACCCGAACCTGTAGCAGAAGGGCAACCAACCATCCAAGCAAGCAAGCAGCCAGAAATCAAACTCAGTCCCGCTCACGATCACCCACCCATCCACCCCCAGCGCTGTTCGCTGTATTGGTGTCGTTTATGTTTCTTCTATCACCGACGACCACCCGTCTCCCCCGCTCCACCACCGCATCTCAACCGTGTTGGGGCAATGCGTTGGGGAGCCCGGCGATGTTTTTTTTTCTCTATTTATTTTTCATTCGCCTTTCGCTTGTGTTTCGCCTGTTCGACCGATTATTCGCGTTTTCTGTTGAATGGCTTGCTCGCTCTCGCTGGCTGGCTGGCTGGCTGTGGCTGGTCCTGGTGGAAAACACACCATTCGTACGTCAGTCTCTCACCATCCACTGATTCGCTTGGTCGCGCGCGCGGTCTATCCCTGTTTTTGTATGTGAATAGAAGGCCGGATTTTCTAGCGGATTTCCACACAATAAACCCACTACGGACGAGCGTTTGTGTATTTTTTTTTTCGGTGAGCATTAAAGTTCCGCTTCTTCGGCAGAGTCACAGTGTGTGCGGTATTGCAACATCGCGACGCGATCGCCATCGACGACGCCGCACTGAGATTGCACATTACGCTGCGAAGTTGTGTTCCGTAGAAATTTCGAAGAAGTCACTGAAAATGTTTCAACCGTGTAAAAGTGCAAGTGCATGAAAATGGGTGCAGCAGCTGGGTGACATCCCCCCGGGGGCTTAAAACCGCGACCGCGAATCAACGACGGTGTGTGTGTGTGTATTTGTGTGTGTACTTGAACCAGTCTGTCGGTCGGTCGGTCGGTCGGTGTCGTCAGCAGTTGTTCAGCGAAGATCAGCGAAATCCAAAAGCTCGAATTCTTGTATTATTGTAGGTGCAAACGACAGAATCGACAGAGGCGAAAAAAAAAAACAAGAAGTTCGAGCGCGCGCGATTATTGGGGAAACATACAGCAGTGCACCACCAGCGCCAGAGAGCATAATAGAGGCTACCATAGTTATTGTGAAGGTGTGTGTTGGCGACAAAGCGCGGAGTTGCACACAGTCAGTGCTGTGTTTGTGTTCAATAGTTTTTTTTGGTTTCCCGTATCGGATCTGTTATTGTTTGTCTGATGTTTGTGAAGTGATAGGATGGCGATGATGATGATGGTTGATCCATTCATTCATGGGCATGGGTGGAGGAAGAAAATCTATGTCGGGCTCCGATGAACGAAGCTGGAGAGAATGGATAAATTCTAGAATAGCGGATCTTCTTGCGTACGTTGGAAGTGTACGTTTTCCAGTGCCGGGGAGTTTGCGGTGGTTATACTGATGGATCAGGGAAACCCGTTTGAAATTTTCATTCGGAGAGTGAAGTGTTCGAGCGCTGGAGTTGGGTTGTTGGGGCGCAAAAAAAAGTTGATCAGCTGGAAGCAAATTTGATTGATATTCTACATGGTTCATGGTCAAATTTTTCATTTTTAAGTGTGCCAATGCTGATTGATAAACTATATGGTCAATAATCCAGAAATCGATAATCTTTTTGTAACGGTGAAGTTGGAAATAATCGATTGATCGTTCGCTTTATCTGTGTATAATAAAAAGCGTATCTTTCCAAGAGAACACAAATCGAAGTAGCGTGCTGAAATTCCATTGTGAAATTTATGCAGACATAAAGTTATTTTTTTCTTGTCAAACCCTATCGAGGATAGAAACCTAAAACGAGTACTCTAACGCAAGATTTCCTTCTTGAGAACTAATGGTACAATTGAACGATTGATTTCAATTTTAAATGAGGAACACCCAAATTAAATTTAACAACAAGAATACTACTATTTTTTTAAGGTTTGATCAGGCTCCCAATCAGTGCTGAGATGTGTCATTGACTTTCACTATCATTGTTTTTCCCTTAGTCACTGACAGGCTCGATCCTCAAAAAAATCTTTGCCAACATCTCATTAATTTTTTCGTCACTGACAAAGATTCCCCTGGTAACAAAAAGTGTAATTTCGTGCATTCTGTGGCACCTTATTATTATCCAAGCAGTTCCGGACGTAGGTGCTTGTTCACTTTAACGGCTGAGATTGGGCCCATCGCTAAAAATCAGCTATTTATCAATTTTATCTAGTTGAACGCGTCATTGGGACGGTACTAATGGATATTTTTGGTCGCTATTGAAAATTTAGTCGATTGCTGAATTTATGTATGGGCCCAAATTAGGGGCCGACATTACAGCCATTTCTCCTACCTTTTTTGTTTTACATTTCTTAAAAAAGTAGTGCAACAAAGAACTAGTTACAGCCTACATGTTTGCAGAATATAGCATATTGCTATCTTAAGGTCTTTCAGATGCAAAGTAAAGGATAAAATTATCCAGTTACTTAAGATATCAACATTCGAAGATAGCATGATTTTTGGGTTTAATCTACCCATAACTTCCGACTGTTATCTGGTGCCTTTGGCGAATTTGCTTGTAATAATTGTTGATACAAATTTATTGAAGATGAAATGAAGATTTCATTTGTATCTATAATAATCGAATTAAGTTAATAAATATTGTATGTCCGACACCTCGAATATTTAAGCGACGCCGGTGGTGTAGTGGTAAGTGTGATTACCTCTCAACCCAGCAGGCCTGGGGTCAATCCCAGTCGGCGCCGCCGGGATGTTCTGAGGCATAACATCTCTGATCACGCCTTCCTTCGCAAGGGAAGTAAAGCCGTTGGACCCCGGTTCATGAGTTGATGGGTCGATAGGCAGGGTCCAGGTGTGGGAGCTGCCTCCCTGGCGTCGGTAGCATTGAAGCTCAGTACGGAAAACAAGATCGATGGAAAACAAATCAAGGAAAAGAAAGGCTCGAAAATTTCTCTTAGAATCTGGAATACTTCTTCAAGTCCCTTATGTTTTTTCTCTCCCATAATACACTACCAATAATTTAGTCTGTGACCCAGAATATAGCCAATGTTCCAATGTTTGGCATTTTTAATATTTTTATTAATTTTAGTACTTTGAAAACTTTTCATGTCACAGAATCTTCACAGATTCTTCTAGGATATTGAATGCACTTTCATAGATCATTTTCTAAAATTTGAGATCTCACATACTTAATTGCCAAACTTTTCTGAAAGTTCTAGTTCCATAATCTTAAACTGTTTTCTAACACCAAGATTTTGAAAAATTTCTGTACAATTCGCTTGGAAGCTTCATCGAAGAAGAAAAGTATTCTCCCAAAATTTCTTTGTATTTCATCTCATAATTTCTATGGGAATTTTCTTCAAAATTTCCTCAAATTTCTTCTCAAAATGTTCTAGAAACTGTGTCTTATAATTTTATTGAAATTCTCTTGAAACTCTCCTTAAAAATTCCCTTCGATATTTGTTCAAAATCCATTGAAACACTCCTCAGAAATTCTTTCTCTGAATATCCTGTTATTGCTCCCGGAAGCTATTTAAATTTTCCTCAAAATGCTTATGATTCCTCTCAAGAATTTTTCTGAAACTATCGTCAATCTAGTTTGAATTTCTGCAAATAATTTTTCGAGCTATATTAAAAATTAGATTTCCTTAACCGGAGACGAACCAGTGTTCGGCTAAAAGTATCCTTAATAAAGATAACTAACTAATTACCTAGATTTCCTTAAGGTACGTTTAGACTATCTGATTTATTGGTCTGATTCAAAAATTTAATATGTGTTTTGATGACATCCAGCAGCAAGATTAACCGCTTTCACTATTCAATGCGTATAATTTGACTGATTTTTATTTTACAGTGTGTTTGGTCGTCAAAAAACAGTGTTTATATAATACGAAGTATGCATTATATAATAATAAGCCTGCCAGACAGCAGGTCTGAGAGCCTACTAAGAATTTTTTAGAGCTTCAGAGAGATTTGGAGATCTTTTGAGAAATTGGTTGAGCTTCAAGGTGGTTCGTAGATCTTGAGAACAGAACTACAAAACTTCAGAAAATTTTACAGAAATTAAAAGAAATTTGCAGAAATTCAGAAAAATGTTCAAAGATCTTTTAAAAACTTCAGGCAAGCTTAAATATTTTCTGATCAATTTGTAAAACTATAAGGGAAATTTTGGTAAATATTTAGGGAACTTGGCAGACCTTCCATTCCAAGAATCTACAGTGAAATGTAAAGAATTTTACAGAAGTTTAATGATCTACTGAAAAATTATTGAACATCAGAAAAGTTCATAGAATTTCAGAACAAATTTTTAGACCTTCAAGAAAGAGTGCAGACTTTCTGATGCATAATTTAGAAGATCTGCAGGGACATTTTCAGATTTTCATGGTAGCCCGAGAGCCTACAGATGAATTTACAAAACTACAGACTAGTTTGCAGATCTACTGAGAAATGTATTGAGCCTCAAGGTAATTCGTAGATCTTGGGAATAAAACTACGGAGCTTCAGACAACTTTACAGAACTTTAAAGGTTTTTTTCAGAACTTCAAGAGAGTAGATATTTAGAGAAATCTGTAGATCTGCAAGGAATTTTGCAGATCTTCAGAGACATTCAGCGATTCAGTAGTTCAGAAAAGTACTTCAATTCCAAAAACAAATCTCAGCGAAGTACGAAAGTGCAAGATTTTGCAGAACTCCATGTAAGTTGGAAATAGATAGAACTGAAGAACTTCAGAAAAGTCCGTAGACCTTAGGAAAAGTCTGTAGAACTTCAGAAAGTTCGTACATTTTTAGAAAAAAATGCAAAACTTCAGCAAAACTCACAGAACTTCTGGAAAGTTCGCCGATCTTTAGAAGTATTTACACAACTTCAGAGAAATTAAAATATTTTAAGATAATTTGTAGAACTTTAACGAATTTCAGATAAACTTGCAGAACTTTATGGAAGTCCAAAAATCCACAAAGAAATGTTCAGAACTTTAGAGAAGATCTACTGAAAAATCTGCTGACTTTTATTGAGGTTCTTGGATTTTAAGTGAAATTTACAGAACTTCTGGGAAGTTCGCTGATCTTTATGGATATTTGCACAACTTAAGAAAAAAAAAAGTAGATTAGTAGAACTTCCTTAAATTTCCGGGAAGCTGAAAAACGTGTAGATAATTTTTATTATTAAGAGAATTGCGTAAATGTTCAGAGATATTTGCAGATATTATTTGAATCATGATTATCTACAGCGAAAATTATATAACTTTCGAGAAGTTCGTAGATTATTGCACATTTAGTGAGCATCAGAGATGCCTGTTGATATTTAAGGATCTACATAGATTCAAGAACTTTGTAAATTTTTAGAGAAATTTGCAGAACTTCTAAAGAAGACATAGAACTTCTAAAAAATATGCATAACTACTGAGAAATTTGCAGATCTTCAGAAAAGTTTGTTGATCTTCAAAGATCCTTGTGTATTTTTATCGTTTATATGACCAACATATGGTTACATCTTTACTACGATGGAAGTGATTCGTATATTTTTTCTTTCTTATCCGGCTTTGGTTCAAATAGTTAAATCTATTGATCTAGACTGAATACTTTCAGCCCATCGATAGTGGAATAGCGTAGGATCCACATTTTAAAGATTCCCTATTTTCAGCTTTTCTATAGGCTGGCGTTGTTGTTTGAACCATTTAGTTTATCAATTTAATTTATCAGTATAACAATTATTCACAAGCATTCTACCAGGTCAATTCAAGAATAGTTTGATGATGATAAATCTTCCTAATATTCACATTACAGTCATGATCCTGTCAGCCTCTCTGACTATTATTTTTCAGTAACTCCACATAATTGTGATTTCATATCTTACTCCTTCAAGATTTTTTATCTAGTTCGTTTATTTGTAAGGCTCAATCGCGTTTGCTTTACTTTGTAATTTTTTAGAGAAATTTGCAGAACTTCTAAAGAATCTGCAGAATTACCGAGAAATTTGCAGATCTTCAGGAAAGTGTGTTGATCTTCAAAGATATTTTACCAAAGAACAGAAATAAAACTTCAGGGACGTCCGAAGCTCTTCAAAGAAATATGCAGCATTGTAATCTTAACAGAAATTTTCAGAACTCAAGAAAT